TAAAAGGTAAATAAGTAAATGTCCAACCCATTCCAATTCTTACTACGCGGAGCAGCTACTGACAATAGCACTCAGCTGTCCAAGTATGTTTGCGGACATCACCATGCATGTCAACCCATGTGGGCTCTAAAAACTGAAGTGAGGTGATACGAGCTGATCTCTCATCTGTCTTTCTTAAAAGCATTTTATTACGAAATATCTTCAATGAATGCGTAATGTTCTGTGGCCTTTTAGATTTCTTTTGGGAATCTTTATGCTCATGGCTCAGTTTTCTACTGAGCATTAGTGCCCCCCCCCCTTTTCTGTAAAAATGCGAAGGTGTTTTAACTCCCCGTCTATCTCTGATCTCATGTATCTTTAAAATTTTCCCTTAGTTTGCCCTTTTTTATTTTTCGTGGTTTGGACTTGTGCTCTGTGCCTTTAAGAGTTTCTTGGACAGCCAGTGTGGTTTCTCTGCTGTGGTGTGCTCTTCTGCTTCTACTAAAGCTTAGTTCGGCATGCATTCCCTGCCCCACCCCAGTGAGGGAGCGCTGTACCAGGGAGATCAGAGGATTTTGCTAGTCCCTGTCATTCCAAGAGAGTGATGCTAATTGCTGACTCTTATGTCAGCTGCCAGATCATGTAATCCTTACAACAACCCTCTGAGAAGACATAACCAGTAAACTGAGGCAGAGAAAGGCTAACTAACTTGCCTAATTTTTCCCCCAGACTCAAACCATACAATGTTTGCCTCAGAGCCCCTAATTAATGGCAAATGGTTCCCACACTCCGCTGTGAAGAGAAAGATTGGGGGTTTGAGTGCTTCCAGAAGCCCCTGAGGAGTAAGGACTTGGCGACCTGACTTCCAAAGAATGGCCAAGGAAGACGCTGTGGTGCATGCTTCTACTCTGCACACAGTAGGCCCTGAGTTGGAGCCAACTCAGCAGCAACAAACGTGTGGCCTCAGAGTCACCCAGGGTCAGGATTGTGACTCTTCATGGTCTCCTTGGTGGGGGAAGTACTTTAGTCTCGGTTACCTGGTCAGCCCAGCCTTCCTGATGGGGAGAGCCCGGCAGAGAGCTGAGAGACCGCTCGACTCCGACTTGACCTCTCAAGTGTGTGGCTGTGGCCCCTCCTCTCCTTCCTGCCTGCAGAGCCGCTCTCTCACCGGGCGCCTGCCGCCTTGGCTCGGGGCTCCCTCTGACCCTCTCGAGAGGGAGAGATCGCAAGCTGCTGCCCAATTTCTCTTGGTTTTAGACATTGCCCCTCCAAAGGCCGCCCCAGAGAAAGGACTGCTTTTCGTTGTTCATGATGTGGCCCTTCTGCTCTCTCGTCCGTGCGTTTGAAACCACCCACTGCTCCTTGGGAGAAAGATGAGGCTTTTTACCCCCTGAAGAGTCAGACTCAGACACCACGGGGCAGTTCTACTCTGTCCTGTAGAGCTGCTGCGTGTTGGCATTGACTTAATGGCAGTGGTTTGGTGTTGGGTTGATGGGCCCTGTTCCTGGTCATTCCGTTCACACCCGAGAGCAGCTTGCCCTGCTCTGCACTGTCCTTCCCCTCAGAGGGAACCTGGCACTTCTGACCGAGAAGTCCCATCACCCCGCAGTCCCATGCCCTCCTGCCCGTCTGAGATGACGCTTGTACCAGACGGGCTTGAGAAAGGCAGCCGAGTGTGAGTGACTGCTGAGTAGCTCATGCCTCGTCTGCATGAGACCGCTGTACCGGACCGTGACGCTGGTAAGACAGAGACGCTCAGACACCGGCCAGGTTTGAAAAGCCTTTCTCAGCCCTTGAGGGAGAAGGGGGGTTCATTCACAGAAATGCAGGAGTGAGAAATGCATGAATAAAACTGGTTGGTTCACGCCGGCAGATCTTTAATACCTGTTTAGCATCACATTTAAGCAGCTGACATGCAGTCTTTTTGGAGAGGACTCTGTGTGTTTAACTTGTCGTGTTTATAAGAAAAGTGAAGGTTTGCATGTTAAGAGGGGAAAGGGGCCTGGGGAGAAGAAAGCACTCCATAGCCTCGTGGTGTCTGCAGCTCGGCGTCCTGTGTTTGTAGCGCTGGTGTGTTTTCGTAGCACACCATGTTCAACAGGAGTAGGAGGCTGTGGATGTCGCCCTGGTGGTGCATTGTTAAGTGCTTGACTGCTGGCCGAGAGATCAGTGGGTCAAATCTGCCAGTAGCCCCATGGGGAAAAAAACAAAGGTTTCTGAAGGGCACAGGTTCCCAAATTTAATTTGACTTCTCTTCCCCCTTTCAGGGGGGGGAAACTTGAAAATTAAAAACTTTTGTACTGTAGTTCACAATCCAGGTTAAAGTGTAAGTATCTGCTAGCGTGCTGCCCCCATCCCCCTAGGGGAGAGGCAGTGTTTCCCACTTTGGGAAACATTGGTGTACAGCCTTGGAAACCCTGTAGGGCAGCTCTCTGAATAGCAACCGCTCACACAGTTCAGTAACCTCAGGGACCTCCTCTCTGTCCACGGTGCCGACTCAAACGGGCCCTATATAGAGGACCGGTGTCACCGCCCCTGTGAGTCTCCCAGACTGTAGCTCTTGACAGGAGTAGAAAGCCTCTCCGCTTCCCATCGGAGCAGCTGGTGGTTTCAGACTGCTGACCTTGAGGTTAGCAGTCTGATGCATAAAGACAGCACCAGCTGTTCTGAGGGGGCGAGCAGGGCCCCTTAATAGGTATCATCTAGACTAGTGGTTCTCAACCTTCTTAGTGCCGTGACCCTTTAATATAGTTCCTCATGTTGTGAGGAACCATAGAAGTATTTTCGTTGCTACTTCATACTTTAATTTTGCTACTGTTATGAATCAGGCGACCCCTGTGAAAGGGTCATTCGACCCCCAGGTTGAGAACTGCTGATCTAGACCCTTTTAATTTTCTCCTTCACTTCTCTTGGATTTGAGTATGTTAGAACCCTACGGGATTCCTAGTCTCATTTTAGGACCACCCTTCTGAGAGAAAGCTCAATAAGAAATGGGTTCATGTTTGCTCTTTACAGTTTGTGTGTCTAAAGTCTAGTAAGTTCTGGGGGTATGAACAGTTAAGTTCTCCACTAGCCGAAAGTTGGGCTGTTGGAACCCGCCCAGAAGCAGGTGGGAAGAAAGGCCTGGTGATCTGTTCTTGAAAGGTCACCTTGGAAACGGGTCTCTGTACAGACTAGTAGGAACTGACTTGATGGCAACTAACTGCAGCAGTCACCAGTCAGTCTCCAAGAAGGGGCTCCCTGGGACAGTTTGCCTCGGTGAGGTCACTGCAGCAGGGTTGTTGACCTGCTGAGCGACCCTGGGACCTCAGTGAGAGCTGTCACCACGCCCCACCTGCCGCTAAACCCGGCCTTTAGGAACAGCATGGTGGAAGGAGGTGGCACCGTGTTTGAAACAGTTGCAAAGCAGGAGGTTGGTGGTTCAAACTTGCCATCAGTTGTTCCGGGAATGATGTTTGCTGCCGTAAAGGTTTACGGTTGAATTACATTTTTTAGAACCACATTTCAAAAATCCAGGCATGTTCTTGTCTTACTTAGCCAAAATGTATTTATCCAAACTGGTTTTAAGGCCTTCCATGAAGATTTGGCTGTCGTCAAGGTCATACACAAGTTCCTCCTGAGTGGAGTTTTCACCAGTAGGGTTCGTGTGAGTTACACCTTTACAGGTGCAGGCTGGAGGATTTATTCCCGCTGAAGTTCATGGCAAGTTCACTGTAAACTCTTAGCAGCTGGTTCTCCTCTTCAGCCCCCGCGGAGTTTTGTTGGCGACGTTTTCTTTCTCCTTCTCTGTTTGCTGGGACTGGGAGGCGGCATGGAAAGGAGGGACGGGAGAACCAACTGGCGCTGAGAGACGCAGGTCTCCGCCTTCACCAGTGCTGGAAAGGCCGGGCTTAGATGGAGCTGGTCTTCAAACTCTTTTTTTTAAACCCCAACAAAGGGGTTTTTCAGTCCGTTTAACCCCCTAAACGTTTTCTCCTTCCTCTCTAGCAAGAAGATCCTTCTAGGAAGAAGAAGCTTCAGGAGAACAAGGGAGGAAACACACAAAATTTAAATTGGAATAAAAACCGGACATGTCGAAAAAACAAGAAAAAGGGAGTTACTCCAACCTCCAGGTGTGTGCTCTGCTTTTTGCTGTGTGGCCTGGCATCTCTCCCTTTCAGTCTTGTTTCCGCTCCGCTGATGTGCAGGCGATGATATGTGGTTTGTAGACGTCTGTTTGGGTCTATTTGTTTTAGACGAACGTTTATTCTTAAAATGAACGTGTGTTTTTAAATTTTGTTAAACGTTTAATTTACCTTTGCCGTTGTCAAATGCTGAAAGCTGTGGGATAGCAAAGCCATCTCTCCATGCTAGATGTGCATTCTGCCCATGAGACACACGTGTGTCTGTGGCCTGCCTTCAGGCCGTGGGAGCAGCTGCCTGAGCAAGCACAGGGCACAGGCGCTGGGCAGTCTGGGCTGGGCTTCCGCTGGAGTGAGGTAGAAGGGTCACCATTCATGGACCCCCTGGGGTTCAGTCCTACCAGAGGAAGGCCCCTAACAGCTGCAGGAGTGGAGGCGTGGGCAGCCAGCTGGCCGGCTGCAGAGCTTGTGCAGGGCAGGCAGAGCCCAGCGGGGTTTCCAGGCGGGGGGGCACACTCTGCTTTGGAAACCCAGCTTCCTCTAGCTCACTTTCTGAGAGTCTGCTTTCTTCTCGGAAACGAGGAGCGTATTTCGGGGGGAGCCTCTCACTGTCCTGTGAGAGAACCATCCCTCTAAGCCCGATGGTCTGTAAATTTTTCACTTGGGGGCTTTCCCTGACCGGCTCAGTCCTGTGTACATTCTGATTACAAATCCGCCCAGGGGTGTCTCATCCCTGAGTTTGGCTTGCTTTTGTTACACATGCAGCCCCCCATCCCACCCCACCCCGCAGAGGCGCGCGCCCCTGCTGCTTCCTCCTAGGGTTAGGAAGCTTTGGGCACCCCCCTTGTCATAGGAGGCTCACTCCCACCCCTGGCTGCTGAGTAGGCCTTTCCGGCCGTCACCAGGCTGGCTTCATCCTGCCATTGACTTCCGGCATCCTGCCATCCGCTTTCCTAGGAGCTCAGTAGGTGTCCAAGCGTGCATCTGTTGGCTTTCCTCTGGCAGTTCCAGATTTGTGTGTGCAGAGGGTTCCACCGAGTTCAAGTTTAGCAGGCACGTGGGAGGGAGCCTTAGCCTGGCCGCCCTTGCTGACAGGGCTGCAGGCTTGGGAAGCACAGGTGTGTGTCAGTCCCGTTCAGCAGCAGTCTGAGCCCGGGCCTGGGGTCCAGTGTTGTATGTAGTAAGCTCCCCAGGTTCTCCAACTTTTGCTGCTGGAGTTAGGCAACTCAAGTTCTGACTCTCTAAAGGAAAGTCGCAATATGAACAACATAATTGTACCTACTGTTACCCAGAACCCACTGCCAGTGAGTCCCTTCTGACTCAGGGACCTTACAGAGCAGGGTCGAGCTGCTGCGGCTCGTTTCTGAGACTGTACGTCTTTATGGGAACAGGCAGCCTCCCCTTTTCCCACCAAGCAGCTGGCAGGTCCGAACCATCAGCCTTGCTCCTAACTCACAGTGCCGGCAGGGGGCTGTTGGAGCACTGTGCACACCCCTTCCTGGCCGTGGATTGGCCATTCTCCTCGTAGTCGCAGTGCAGTGTCTTAGAGAAAAGTCCCACTGTGCGGAACTCTTGTACTCCTTGCTTTCATCCAAACTCCACGGGCTGTCATTGCCTGGTATAAACAGAACAATACAGCGAACCCAGGCTTCTTGTTAAAGGCAGATTTCCATGCTAAAGAAACAATTCAGTTGAAAATTAACTTTCACTTGTCACTGAGAAGTGTTTTGAGAGCATGCTGCTTAACAAGCAGGTAGTGGCTGTCTACTTACCCGGCTTTTCTTTCTGTTCATGTGGCTCTTTCACCTTGTCCACAAACTGGGCAAACCATCTGGATTCATGGTGTGTACCTGATCTTCTTACACTCCATCCTAAAGGCCTAGCATTGGGTACTGAAGTTGGACCATGTGCATAGCGAGTTATTCCCTTAGCCTTCTCTACACGTTGCCACTGGGTGGTATCTCAACTACCTCTTCTTGAGGAGTTCAGTCGAGTAAGGAAGCTGTCAACTCCCTTATTCCAATGGTCAGCTTCCTATGGGAAGAACTCCACATTGTTCTTCTGTGGTCCCTGCACCTCTCAGAGTAACATGTGTCAGGTGTCATGTTTATTACAGGAATGAGTGGGCATGTAGTTAAGTTAATAAGATGTACCTCTCTGCAGACACCAGAGACCAAGCTCTTCTATTGCAAATCATACTCTGTGTTGAAACAGCAATGGAAAGCTGTCAAGGGTCCTAGGTTCTCATATGCCACCCACCGGTGGCTTTTAAACCTTCTCGCTGCAAAATAAGGAACCAGCTGCATTTGAGTTTTAAGATTCAAATCATGCGCTCCTACCAGACCCCCAAAGCGGAAGGAGGCCCTTAAGCTGTCCCAAATTCTTTTTTCTTGTCACCTTGAACCATGGACAAGAAGTCTACATGTGTGCATGATAAACTATGGGTGTGCTTTCTCCGCGGCTGTTCCAGGCCCCCGGAACACGGCGAGCTGAAGCTTGTGTGCAGAGAACTTGAAAGGCCTGAGCTGAGCGGTGCTGTGGCGATCAGAAGCTGGTGCGTGCTGGAGAACCCTGGGGAGACCAGGCGAGCAACTGCCGAGCGTGGAAGTGGGCCTGCTGCGCAGGGAGAGGCAGGTGCGCAGCCTCTGTAGCTGTGCCTCGGGGAAAGAACATGCCGTGAGGGAGGAGGGAGTTTCCCCAGAAGCCTGGGCCAACCGCTGGCACCGTAGCCGGTGGTTGGTGATCCTCGGGCTGGCTGAGATGTGACCTCTTGTGGCAGAGTGACATGCCATCACTGTGACCATCTCAACCACTGTATCTGCCCACCTCACTGCCCACCCTCCGCTTTACCAGCCCTGCTATCTGTCTAGTGATGACCTGCCCAGAGTCGGCGAGCCCGAAGTCTTGCCATCCTCACGTGTCAGGAACATTCTAGCTGTGGCTTCTCTGAGACTGGTTTGGTCTCTGGCAGTCCCACGGTACAGTCACCATTCCCTGCCAACCGAACCAACCGAACCCACCGCCATTGAGTCTATGCTGACTCATCGCGACCCCATCGGACAGGGTAGAACTGCCCCCGTGAATCCCCGAGGCTGTACCTCTTCCGGGAGTCAAAAGCCCATCTCTCTCCTGTGGAGCGGCTGGTGGTTCCGAGTTGCTGACTTTGGGATTTGCAGGCTGGTGTGTAAGAACCCTTACACCACCGCCAGGTCTCCGTTCTTCACCAAAACCACGGTCCAAATTGTCCCTTTTCGGGGTCCAGCTGTCAGAGGCTGGACGGTCACTGGGAAGGCCCTGGTAGGCTGTTCCCCAGCTCCCACATGCACAGTCTATGGGACGATGGTTGCTTGCCCTCCGGAGGGCCTCGGTGAGGGGGGAAGGAGGGGAGGAGCCAGGTGAGAAGTGTGCCACCCCCATACCTGAGCCCAGGGGCTCCTGGAGAACCGGGTGCGGCTCTGCTGTAGGGCCGCGGGGGTGCCCCTGGGGATGGCAGTAGAGAAACTTGAAATGCTAGGTCCAGGCGAGGGCAGAGGGCGCTGCTGACCGTGGACTGGACATGGGGTGGGAGTGATCCCAACATTCCCGTTCCCCAGACCCTTCTCTGGTCTACCTTGAGGTGCTCCCCCCGGCCCTCCCAACCAAACATTTTGAACATTGCTCTCCTCCCCCAGGCCCGCAGGGGAGCTTCAGTTAGAGAACTACTTCTCGAACAAGCTTACGATTAGTGTGGACTGGCTTATCCCTAAACGAGTTGCGAGTTGCGCTGTGCACTGGCAGGAAGAGCCGGCGCACGGTCACTGCCCACGGGCCTCGCTTGCTCTCCACAGGGACGTCACTGCCACTGCGCGCTCTACAGGGAGTTGGCAGCTTTTCTTCTTCCTTCCTTCCCGCAGAGGGTTACTACCGGCAGCCCGAGAAGAAATGCGTGGAAAAGTTCTGCTCAGATTCTAGCTCGGACTGCGGCAGCTCCTCGGGGAGCGTGCGAGCCAGCCGGGGCAGCTGGGGCAGCTGGAGCAGCACCAGCAGCAGCTCCGACGGGGACAAGAAGCCCGCCTCGGCCCCGCAGCACTTCCTGCCCGCCGGTGAGTGCCACTCGGGCCCCCAGGGTCTCTGGGACCACCCTGTCCTGAAGGGCTCCTGGGCGCCCTCTCAGGAGCCCCAGCTTGGGAGAGCATGTGCACAGCACATTTGAGTACACCGGTCCACGCCTCTCACTGCCAGCAAGTCCATCCAACCTCTAGCGTCCCCATAGGAGAGTGAAACTGCCTTTGTGGGTTCCAAGACTCACTGTTTATGGGCGTGGAAAGCCTCTTCTTTCTCCCATGGAGGATATGATGGTTTTGAACTGCTGCCTAAGGTTAGCGGCTCAATATATATAACCCACTACCCCAATAGGGCTGCTGAGGACATGCAGACCTTACTTAATTACTGGTCACAGATCCTGGAGTGAAGCCGACCCTCCACTGAAACCTCTTTAGATGTTGTTTGCCATGGAGCCCACTGTAGCACACTGGGTAACAAACGGAAGGTTTGAGGCAATCCTACGTGGAGAAAGTGGGTGCCAATTTTCCAAGATGGGGTCTGTGTGTTCTGCCCCCGTGTTGAGTGCATATCCTACCCCAGCTTCCTGCCTCTCCACCCACTGGGAGGAGCAGGTGCTGTCTGTCAGCAGCCGCGGTAAAAGCTCTTATCTGGGAGACCAGTCCAGTCAGTCCTGTCAACAGTGAGGGTGTGGTTTCAGGAGGTGTGCCAGCATTTTTGTTGTTGTCATCTCCTGCCTCTCCGCTGGAGGGAGCCCTGGAGACAGAGTGGGCTGCATGTTGACCTGCTAACCACAAGGTCAGCAATTGGGGCCCACCAGTTGATCCTCAGGAGGTGGAAGAGCTTGTCTGCTCTTGTAAAGATCGACAGTCTCTGTCCTGTAAGGTCACAGTGGGTTGGACTCGGCTCGATGGACCCCCACTGAACCCTCTGTAGATGTTGGTTGCCAGCTAGCCCCTGATAGTACTCTGGTTCTGTTGGGAGGTGGGGTGTTGAGGGTTAAGTGTTGGACCACTGTCGTGTCAGGGTTCAAAGCCACCAGCAGAGAAAGATGAGGTGGTTACTCACATAAAGACAGGATAGCCTTGGAAACCCTAACCGGCAGTTCTACTCTGTCCTGTCTCGGAGTCCGAATTGTTTCATGGTGAGGGGTGCGTGTTAGGCTTCATACGTAAGATTCTTTGTCAGCCGCCAAGACCAATGTTACCTCACCTGGGATCAGTGTCACCCTCACCAAGAAGTTTGCACTTAGAAGGCAGGTGGGTTTGTTGGTGGGGTGGTTTACTTGGCCAGAGGAAGCCTGGTTTTCACCCCACTGAAGGCAGGGTTTCTCCAGTGATGCCAGCTCCAGATTGTTCGTTCTCTCCCTCCTTCCTTCATCCACCCCACCCCCCACCCATCCCCCTTCCCTGTCTGCATGGAGAGAATGTAGTGCAGCTTTTGCCCTGGGGGAGAGCCCATGAGCAAAGGAAGTCTGACAGTCGTAGGGGGAATGGCTAACACAGCCGCCTAATGTACAGAGCTGCTTAAGTTGTATCTGGAAGTTAGGCAGAAGAACACTCTCACCATTGCAAAAAGTATAAAAGACGCACCAAGACATAGTGTACTTGGAGTTGTTGGCGTGGATGCCAGCCGGCCCCCGGCTCATGGCAACCCCAGTCGTTACAGGGCTGAGCTCCATACGGTTTTCTTGACTGTCATCCTTGTGACAGATCGCCAGGCCTTTCTTCCGTGGTACTGCTGGGCACTGCCACTCTTTTGGTTGACGTCTGTGTTAGGCCAGGTTGTCTAGAGAAGCAAATTGAGTGACACTCATATATGTATAAGAAAGAGCTTTCTATCAAGAAGTCATTATATATCAAGAAAGTGTCCCAGCCCAGTCCATCCCAAGCCCGTCAGTCCGACACTAGTCCATGAGCCCCTCCTCAGCCTCACGCAGCTACATGCAGTGATGCAGAGGGCAGGAGGGTCACAGGCCGGCGGGTACAGAGGCCTGTACATCCAGGGTTGGGGGAAACGTGGCAGCGCTCCGGCAGCTCACAGGAAGGGGAACAGGGAGAGTGAAGGAGGTTCCCAGGGTCAGGCTGACCTGATTGTGACAGGCCTGACTCAACCCATAGCCAGGAGGGTCTAGTTGACATAAAATCATCTAACTGCCACAGTAGCCAAGTACAAACCATTGGTGACTCCCAGGACTTCACATGGAGTATGAGCCTAGGTTTACTTTTAAAATTTATGATAACACGTATATACATAGTACATATAGTACACATAAGAGAATGCAGGAAATATATCTAAATGTTGATGCTGGCCCTGGTTATACTCTTAAAATTTTATTTGGTTTTATATATTTCTTACAGTGAACATACAATACTTTTGTAACCACGAGGGGCGTAGCTATAATTATATAGTCAAATTTCTTTCACCAGGAAAAAAACTGAAGAATTTACACAGCTTTTGCTTCAAAAATTAGTTAATTTTAATGTTGAGCTTTATTGTTTTCAGTGGATATAAGAGTTGAGAAAAAGTCTTTTGGTCACAAGGAAGAGACAAGGCAGTCAGGGTGCAGTATAGCACAGATGAAACATACAACCTTCCTCTAGTTCTTTAAGGCTCTTCTCCCCTTCCACCCCCACCCCCATGACCCCAGTTCTACCTTACAAATCCAGCTAGACCAGAGCATGTACATGGGTACAGATAAGGGCTGGAAACAAAGGGATCCAGGACAGATAAACCCCTCAGGACCAATATTGAGAGTAGCGA